CTCGCTTGCTGAGGTGTTCCAGTGAGTGTCTCTGTAGATCTTAGAAAACTATTTCTAGATTTAAGTCGTTGGAAATGCCTCTAGAACAGTGGTTTTCAACCTTCCTAATGCCATGACAGGTCCTCATGTTGTGGTGACCCCCAACCATAATGTTATTTTCGTTGTTACTTCATAACTGTAATTTTGCTACTGTTATGAATTGTAAAGTAAATATCTGATATGCAGGATGTATTTTCAGTCCCTGGACCAAATTTGGCACAAATACCAATACGCCCAAAATTTGAATACTGGTGGGGTTGGGGGTGATTTATTTTGTCATTTGGTAATGCTAGAGTTGCTGGGATTTATAGTTCACCTAAAATCAAAGAGTCTTCTGAACTCCATGAATGATGGAATTGAATCAAACATGGCACACAGAATTCCAATGACCAAGAGAAAATACTGGGAAGGTCTGGTGGACATTGACCTTGAGTTTTTGGAGTTGTAGTTCACCTACACCCAGAGAACACTGTGGACTCAAGCAATGATGGATCTGGATCAAACTTGGCACAAATACGCAATATGCCCAAATGTGAACACTGGTAGAGTTTGGAGAAAATAGACCTTGCCATTTGGGAGTTGTAGTTGGGATTTATAGTCCACCCACAATGAAATAGTATTCTCAACCCCACCAACGATAGAATTGGACCAAACTTTCCACACAGAACTCCCATGACCAACAGAAAATACTAAGTTATCTGATGGTCTTTGGCGACCCCTCTGACACCCCCTCGCGACCCCCACAGGGGTCCCGACCCCCAGGTTGAGAAACACTGCTCTAGAACATGGCCATATAGCCCCAAAAAAACCCACAAGAACCTAGTGATTCCAGCCATGAAAGCCTTCGACAATACAAAGGAAAAAAAAGATGTTCCCACCTCAAATGATGGGGCGTCCCTTTGTGGGAAGGAGAAAAAGAGCCTCAGACTCACCCGAAGGTTATGGCTCTCCGTTAGGAATCAAATCTCCCGCGCTTCCCCGCTCAGGGAAGGCAGACCCGGAAGCATTTGGCGTCGCTCGCGCTGCTTCCGGGGGCGGGGCTGCGTGTGGGCGGGGCTTGGGAGCGGCCTACAGAGCCCTCGGCGCCATGGGCAAGAAGCACAAGAAGCACAAGGCGGAGAAGACGGAGTGGCGCTCCACGGCCGCCCCCACCATCAGCTCCGGGGGCGGCGCCTCCTCCTCCGGCGGGCCTTACGACGGTGCGTTGGGAACCCGGAGAGAAGCCTCCCTCGGCGGCCCGCCAGCTCTTTGGGCCTCCGCTTCCCAGAATCCCCGCCCATTGAACAAGCTGGGTAGGACTTCTGGGAGTTGGAGGCCCAGACAGCCGGACAGTCCAAGGGTGAGGCTGCCTGCGCCTGAGGATAATCTGGGAGCTCCCTCCCTTTCCCTTCTTTTTAAAAAATGCTCCAGATTTACTTTTTTCA